GTAACTTCCGTCCTGCTTTCTTGCTCTCAAAAGTGCCAGTTCACCCTCGCCCCGAGCGCGCGACGTGACGCATTGTGACGCATTATAGATAAGCCGCTGCCCGGGACGTTGTTGAGTGAGTCTCGGTCCAACGTTTGATCCTGCTGTTTCGCCGCCATCGACACTCGCGACGCTAGCTTTTTTTCTCTTATGTTTTTGGGCACAAGTTCGGCCCATTAAACCTTTAGTTTACTTCCGTTTTCGTCTCCTCATAACTTGTCGTTCGTGACATTTTGACTTGACAATATTTTAAGCTGTTTTCAACCAAAACAGTCCAATCCGTAGCGCTCTAATTTGGCGCTAGCTCCCGGACTGATTTTGGCCGTTCATGTGCTAGGTTATTCAAATGATTCACACACCTGCGTTGAGTCTCTCATAGTGCGAATGCAACGGCTTGCGACATTAGTCCTTTTACGGGTTGCTATAGCAGCAGCTGCGTCGGCTCCAACACCGGTTTTTGCCCCGTTTTGTTGAAACCGACGCAGCCGTTGCTATAGCAACCCTCACCATCGGTTGGACTCGAGGCAAGTGTGTGAATCACCCTTTAGGCATTCAACTCTGCCGAAACTGAGGCGTACGCCGAACGAGCATACTTTGCGAGCAGCTGCTTTGTCAAGGCGAAGGCCTTATTTGTCTCATCGTTCAGTCGACATTCAAAGCCGAAGAACAAAAACACGTCGGCGAAACGAAAGGTACCAAAACGTTTACGCGGCCACTCAGGCGAATAGACCGATCTCACTAAACGTTCGGCGCATGCGTGACGCCGCCATAACTTTAGTTCACGGGAGGCAGACAGTCATGCATCTAAGCGCTTGTGCCGTCTCGTGCTCCACAAGCTCAGAGCTCCGGCAAGGTTATTGCACGTGCATAAAGACTAAAGTTCCCTCGATGCATTGCGGCAGCGGTGGCGTAGTCAAACTGGCTGGTGAGATCGGTCTATTGGAAGAAATGAAATTAGGAAGGACGACAAAACGAATTAAGAGGAATCCATGTGAATTAAGAAGGATTAAAGTGAATTTAGAGTAATTAAATAGTAAGAGTAATCGATGGGAATTAAGAACTAGCGAATTGAGAGGAATCAAAGTGAATTAAGAGGAATTAAAGTGTATTAAGAGGAATTAAAATGAATTAGGAGGAATTAAAATGATTTAAGTGGATGTCTAAGTGAATTAAGTGGATGACTAAGCGAAGTAAGATGATGACTCAGCACATTGAAAAGGATGATTGAGCATATTAAGAAGGATGGCTCAGCGCATTAAAAAGGATATCTGCCTTTAATGCATCGACGCTTGGGCTTTCGCCTTCAAGTCGTCTTATGGATAACATAAGTGTTAAAGATAGCGGCGCTGCCGATAACAGTTTATCAAAAGCCGCGTGTGCTCACGTGGTCCCGGCAACTTCTAGAAAAGCAAGCGCTCTCGCTCCGTGCAGTTTCTTCTCACGCTTGGTACTGGTCAAGTTGCACCATGTAGTAATAAACGCCTACTCAGTCTTCAAGCTGTCGTCTACCTTCATACACAACAATAGACAGTTTTAGTATAGCGTTGCTGGCTTTTGCGTACGCAATACGCAATAGTATAGCGTACGCTAAAAATGACCTGCTCGGACCGAATTGAGTTGTGCGTTACGTTTTCGAGTGAACACCGCGCGTGATCTTGGTTAAATTTGCTAGAGCCGTAGAATTGCGCATGCTTATAGCGCAACCGTACTCCTGGAAAGAAATATTGAAAAAGAAAAAGTGTCCAATCATTTTATTTCAGATTAAACCAAGCCACAGCTGCCTCGTCAAGCGCGCTTTTCTGCGGGATACAGAGGCTACGAGTACGAGCGCGTAGCCAAATTCGATCACGGAGCCTCCGTCAGTCGTCCCGTGGAAACGGCACCTTTTATCAATGCTATCGCGGAATGAAATTCATGACCCTGATGTCCAGTGCATAGCGAGAACTTCGGCGATTTCTTCCCACGGTTCATCGCCGACAGACGGCGATGAACCGTGGGAAGAAATCGCCGAAGGCTTAGCAGTGAGCAGATCGCAGCGTCGACGCACACTGCGAGCGGCGAACATTTCCACTGAGCACTCCTTCAGCTGCAGTGCGATCTGATTCGACCGCGGTAGGTCCCAGAAAGAATCACCGAGCTGAACACCACGCATTTAAACGTAAAACAGAACTTCGAAAACATCACGTCGCCCTTGCTGCGCCAGTCGAGGCAACCGCCATCTTGAAACTGGCGCTCTCGTTGGGTCCGAGATCTCTCGAGAGCGTCCCGCAAGACCCGCTACCCAGCAACGCAAAATCGCCGGCGTTGCGTGCGTACGCAATACGCTAGCCCTTCTATTGCGTTCTGCGCATGCGCACTCACGACCCGCAATCTCCTTGCGTACGCAAAGCTATAGCGTATGGTGCACTAAAACTGTCTAACAAGGGACCCTCTGAATTTTTTAGATCTGAGCTGGAGCAGCTTGGATGCCTTGGAAGACTTGTTTTTTTAATTTACAGGTAAGTACCACGAACGAAATCCACTTTCACTCTTGGAGTAGCGAGACTTTACCATATCGACGGTTATCGCGTCTCTTTAGGCTGCACCATTCACTGGAAACGAACATGGTTGATACGGCAGGGACCACGACGAATTTGCTCCGAAGCGAGTGGAAAGGGTACCGCCATGTTCGCCGACGCAACCCGGCCCCAAGCATATAGCGGCGCTAGGGGCCCCACGCTATTTCTCGAATGTTGCGTTAGGGGCGAGCGCCAACCCAATACCCCAAAACGCAGTTTAGGTTCGGCGCATGCGCAGTACTGAGCCCCTATTCTTAGAAAGCTATACTATTGTGATCGCGAAGCTATATCATTTATAGTACTAGTAGTAAGTTCCTTTTAAATCAAACTGTATGGTATATTAAAACTATCACATCGCTTAGATTAGAAGTAGCACTATCTGAAACCATACATAAAAAAAAAAAAATATATATATATATATATATATATTCACCTTAAAAGTTTCACGCAAAGGCACGACGCTTTGATTATTCCTGTCATAAAATAGGACGTAACTTTTTACCGAAGTAACTTTATAGCAGTCCAAATACAACATACATTTCCTCTTTGTCTAACGTTATAGCTGAGAGTACAAGCACCTACTCGAATAGAACACATACCGTTTAAAAAAACCCAATGTTTTTTTTTGTTTTTTTATTTTGATGGCGGGTTTTTCATAAATCGTCTTCGGATTCGTAAAAAGTCCGTAATAAAGAAAAAAGAATATGAGCTTAACTAATAACAAAACGTACAGGGTTCAAGTTACTCAGAAGGAACAGGTTCTGTAAAAAAGAAAAGGCTTACCTTTCCTAGCGCTCAACTTTACCGAAGGTTGTTGAACTCCCACGCCGAACAGCAATTTTCGTGGGTTACGCGCGCGCACAGACCACACTGTCCGCTTTGCCAGTTGTTAGTTAAGATTAGCGACTGGCACAACCAAACCATGCCGCTAGAACCGACGAGTATGTTTTGCTTTTGCTTTTTTTATCCGAAACTGGTACTCTTTTTTTTTTTCTGAAAATTTATTTAAAATATATAAATAGAAAAACTTGAGGCGCGCAAGTGCTGACTTCCTACACCAGCTGTTTAACAAATCACGACACGCGAGCTACCCGAGCGTTCGAGTAAAAAAATCATTTGTCTCTTCTCCGCTACTTCAATTGGCAAGAGTTCCGCCTGCAGTGTTAATAGAAACAAGAGGGTAGGAAAACCTCAGATCTCATGGACATTCGCGTAGAAATGTATGCTGCGTAGCGAAAGCTTGGGCCCTGCGCATGTATACTCTACATTCTGGTATTGCTAGAATACCGAGTTTGTAGTCATGAGGCTTTTTCAAGGCAGTACCATCTTCGCAACAGTGCCATCTTATCCAGGACAAGACGTTTATCTGCCGTGTTTCTACCTTGAAGTCCTTCTCTGCGAAAAATCAGTGCAAGCCCATGAGAAAGAATATTCTCACTCACTGATAGCAGTTGGAGCGAAAGCTTTCGCGTAGTACGTGAACGCTACTGTAAATGTTTTTAAAAGTGTGATAAGTGCTAGAGCATCTCCTGAAGCATTATTCCCATGACAGGAACAATAGCAGCAATCCACATTTCGCCAAATATCACTGGTTTCATGTTTCGGGTCTTCACAGAAAATGTATAGGGAGTACGGAAGCTAAGGTAAAAACATCGACGAGGAGTCATTTTCACTCTGAACAATGTGTGTTTTTTAGAAATGTTGTCAATCACGCGCTAAAATGTCTCACGAACACTGGTTCTTTTTCTCACGTTCTTTTTTTTTTTCAGCCTTGGAGGTTCTTTTTTTTTTTTTACATCTACAAATAAGTTATGAATGTATGACACTAATGTTAGGTGACTACTTTGCTCGTAATTGTTGTTCATGGCTTCCAAACGTTTTAGCAAGCATTGTCTCATGACGAAGATGCGGTCCCTTTTAAAGGGGTGCTCCGACTAACTATATTTCGTGAATTCCCGGCCTTCACCCTTTCCGGTATGCTATTTAGTATCGGGAAACTCACGAGTTATTGTAAAATCGGCCAAAGAAAATGATGCAAAAACCAACATTCAAATATACCGGTACTTTTCAGTGCCGTGACGGCAGCGGCCGGTAGGCTTACCACTCGAACAAGCAGTCAAAAAATAGACTACGCCAAGCATTTGTTGCGTGATGCGCGGATACTGGAGCGAGCTTCGAAAGCATTCGTTTGACACCATAAAACTGCTTGTAATCTCTTGGGGAAAAAATCCGCAGTCTAAAGAAAGAATCCCTGCCTACCACTGGCGTTACTTTTTGTTTTTGGTATGTTTAGCAAGTTATTTTCAGGCAGATCGGGGACCGTCAATAAATCGCCGGAGTACTCCTTTAAGACCAGCTTGGAATACGTGCAATTAAAGAACAAGATCTTTTTTATTAGCGAGGTTCATATGACGAGCACACAGGATTCGTTCGAAAGTTCAATCTTAAATCCTGAAACTGCAGATTTTCTGATGCTGCTGCTTGATGAGTAAATGCAAACTCGTGTAAATGAGAGAACAACACTTCCAGCACTCGTTTAATTAGATCACAGTGCATCAAAAAGCTGATACCGAATATTTCTAACACGCGTATGTCTGCTAGATCGCTTCTTGTGACATCTGAGAGAAACATTGCAGCAAACTAGAACAATGTGCCACCCTTGTTTTCGAACGTATATATTACCGTAGGCAAAAATTTAATTGGGATATAACGCGAACAAAATAATATCGATCAACGCTAGGCCTGCTCAAATTTCAAGAGTTGAGGTCATCGTTCTTTTACACCGTTTTTCTCGGGGCAAAAATCGTTGCATGCAGTTTGTAATAAAGCAGACACCTCACATGAATAATAATAAAAAAAAATATAGCACCATAATAAAAACTTTTGCCCTAAATGTTCAATAACCTTTGAATTGCCAATCACGAACACTTCTTATTTATAACTTATTTTAAATAAGCCATAATATTTTAGAGTGTGGCAATACTTGTTTTCTAAATTATACTTTAAATTTATTCTCCTCCGCCCCTCGGGCAGCTTGTCTTGCATTGGAACAGCAAAAAGATGAACAAGCAAAAAAAAAAAAAAAAAAGAATTAAACGATATTTTACGTTTGGCCGTTTACCACTGTTCAGGTGCGAGAACAATTTTGCGACTGAACACTCATATAACTGACTTAGTTTTTCAGCCGCTTAACAGTCGACTACCGCGTCCAGCAGTAGCTACATTTGCCTTCAATGACCAGAGTCCAAACATGGGGCTGTGCAACCCTCTCGCGTTTTCTACCCGTGATATCTTCACTGCCAACAACGATGGCGTGCAGACATAGGGTCCAAAAAGCGAAGACAGGGCAAAGCACGAGGGCATCTCTATTCACATCGCTGGGGGTTCCGGGGACCCCTCCGGCTCTGCTGCGGTTCTTCAGCCGAGTGGGCTGACGGCCACAGGGTCCCTGAGAGCCTCGAGGGCGAAGAAGGCGAGTGTAAGTAGCCCCGTGCCGGTGAAGTCTCCGGCCGCCGTGACGCAGGGAATAGCCGCGTTGTCTGGGTCGACGTCCCACCACCAGAGCCAGTACACCAGGCTGCGGGACAGGTAGAGCAGCACGGCCACCTGCGGGATAACACACCTCATTAAGGGGGATTCAACCGCTATTTATTTGTACCCTTTTCCTCATAGATAGCGCAGAATTTTTTCGGAACAAACGAGTTGCATGTTCGCAGCTGCGCATGCAGGTCGGGCGCTCGACGTGGACTCGGGCCACGGGCTGTTCGCCGCCGATCTCGAGCTAGATCTTCTTCGCTCTGCGTCCGCCGCTGCAGAAAGCGGCCAACAGGCGGTGTGAGATACGAGCCACCACATACGTAGATTACAGTGGCTTACGAAACGTAGAATAAGCTCTGATTTTCGAATGGACTCGAAGTTCCATCCACGTTCGAAATTATCAAAAGCACATGGTGCGGCTTTGCGGCCGTTTGGACCACCAGATTTAACACGGAAACGTTGCTCTGCAAAAAGAAAAAAAGAAAGGTTTATTTTTAGGGCTTAATTTAAAGCTAGAAAGCAAAAAAGAAATAAAGTGGCAGTTTTGCACTTCCGTCTGAATGCTGGTTAGCAAACCCGCTCCCAGGACGTGTGGAGTAAAGCCCATCTATCCTGGGAAAAGTGGCGCCAATCATTTTTGTGGAAATGCTCAAGACACTCGCCGCGCGCCACTTCTGGGAAGAACTAGAGCCACTAAATGAGCTGCGCTTAGAGTATCGGGACTCTGTTCCCCACCATTGTTATGGGCGCCGACATGTTGGTGCTTGTGCAGAGCAGACACAACTGCCGATCGTCATGATTCAAAAGCGCGACTTCCTCAGCATTAGATTCGGTGTTAAGGTAGCTCGTGCAATATTGCTTTGCTCTGTCGCGAACTGTTTAAACATTTGTGGAGGACGGAAAAGCGTTTCCTGTGATTTCAAATAAATCTTCAGATAACTGGCAACCATGATTTTAAGCAGCGATATGAACAAGTGTCGTTACTCTGAAGCGTAGCTTATTTAGTGGCATTATATATAGAAGAACATGGCGTCTGAAATCTAGCTCAGTGCTGCGCTGTTCCGCCATGATCTTCCCTAGTGCCACTAAATACGCTACGCTCAGGGTAACGGCACTTGTCCATATTGTGGCTTCAAATCATGGCTGCCAGTTATCCGAAAATTTATCTGAAATCACAGGAAACGCTTTTACGTCCTCCACAAATGTTTAAACGCTTCATGACAGAGCAAAGCAATATTACATGAGCTTCCTAACACCGAATCAAATGCCGAGGAAGTCGCACTTTTAAATCATGACTATCGGCAGTTGCGTCTGCTCTGTAGAAGCACCAAGATGGCGGCGCCCACAGCAGTATTGCGGAACAGAGTGCCGATTCTAAGCATAGCTCATTAGAAGAGGTCTACACTTCTGCGCGTCGAGTCAAAAGCAACAAGAAGCAACCGCTTCCCACCCGTGAACTGTATCAATGATTATAATGCAATTAGCTGTGTTAGGAGATTTGTGTTTGTCCTTTGTCCCCCTTGTTCCTTTTCTCCAGGGATTATTTTCATCATCTGTCAATGACTTTGCTGTCCAAGCAAGTGGCGCAGCTCTACTACTCGTCCACAATCGCGCACCAAGTACACAGCAGCTGACAAGACTGGCAAAGGGTATGGCAAGAAAGGACACTTCCCGTCTGTCTGCCTGTCAGCGAAAAAGAACCACTCAAATACACAAAGCCATGTTGCACTCGAGTTAGCCTCGTAAACTCCGTAAGTTGAAGGTGCTGCCGGCAAGTGCAGACTAAATTAATTTGATAAAATTCACGCTTTACAAGTACCGCCAACCATTAATTGTTGTGGAAACGCGCAAGACACATGCGAGAAGCAGGTGCTCCGCTGCCATTCGCTTCCAAGGGCCGCTCATTTCAATACTGAACCGACAACTGCTTCCAAGGGCCGCTCGAGACATGGGCCTCGTGCACTGGCGCATTAGACGTCGCTTGCAAGACAAACGCAAACACATCAAAGGGCATTAGTCCAGACAGATAAAAAGGGATCGGTGGCCAGGTACAATAAAGAAAAGAAAAAGGATCGGTGGCCGAGTGGGCTAGAGCACACTAGCTCGGAGCACGTGAAGCGAAAGCTCGTGCTGTATGACCCAAAGATCCTGGGTTCAATCCCCAACCCTGCCCGTTTCGATCTGGATGAGCATCGTACCGGCGTGCGGTTGTGTATGACCACTGCGTGGTCCACGTTAAAGATTCCAGGCTACCGGTTGTACTGCACTGGCTAAATTGCTCACCTATAGCTGGGAGACAATCGCCCGTTGAGGCAGACTATCTTCTAGGCTGTATAAACATACTTACAGCCTAATTTATTTCTAGACAGGTAAGGTAGCACCGCCTCATTCCACCATAACACAGTAAGATCACTGTTGAAAGAGGTGTTGATAACGAACATTAGAGAGTTTCAGTAGATCGTTCCGATACCTCCGATAGCCCCGATAACGATACTATGCATGCACAAGGGAGGCGGTGGCGGAGTATCGGGTATCATTATCGGAGTCATGGGAACGATCTACTAAAACTCTCTAATAGCATAGTGAACTGCCGTCGCCCGAGGTTATTTATGAAGACACTAAAGTTATTTAGAGGTTTATTCAATTTTGCTTAAAAATGAGGAAGGTGAAGAGAAAAAAAGAAAGAAAGAAACATACGCTTCACCTTAGGTAGAAACGTATCTTCTACCTATTGATGGCCCGTTCGGTTTTCTTAGTAATCCGCAAAACAAAACAAAAAATTGTTTCGGGCGCCAGAACGCTAACGTCAAAACTCAATTTCCATCACAGAGCAAGCATCTGTTTGTTGGTTGGTTGAGAAAATATATTTTAATTGTTCAAAATAATAAAAATCATGCTTCTTTTTTTTTCATATTCACTAGGCACCAAACAAGGTCTACAGAGAATGAAAATATCTGAAATAATGTTTAACAAAATAAGCGTTGTTCGGAATAACTATTTCAGCCTTATTTGCAACTCATTCAAGTATTTTTTTTTTTTTTAATTTCCGAATACATATTAGTAGCTAGGTGCCTTCATGTGCGCTTTGCTTAGGGGGAAGACATCTGGCCATTTTGTCCCACACTTTTATTTTTCTTTTTTTTATTCAGAAGCGTGTGAAAGAGCTTGTCCTGGCACGCGTTTGTGGCGCTGACTGTGCTATGGCGACATTTTGGTTTCGTCGATTTATTCGTATTTTACCCGTGAGCGCGTGCTGTCGGTCGGCATCGGGTACTACAAAGGGTGACATCACCCTAAGCAGAAGGACATGGAGGCGCCCTACATATCAGGATATCTCTCTTCAACCCTGCACGATCTTAGGGTGCTTATGAGCAACGCTTGTAACGTATGCAAGCGTTTGACCACGCGCGCTAACATAGGAAAGACACAAAAAAAAAAAAAGCGCATCTCCACGTGGTGAATGATGTTGATTGGGGCGAAGCTCTGGTGGTGCTTGTCTACGTAAACGCTGAGCCGCAGTATGCCGAGCCTTTCGTTCGTTTTCATCCATGTCACGCTGCGGTCAAATGCTCTAATGAGTATATAACCACGTTCCATACCGCACATTCTCTTTCTGACATGGATGAAAACGAACGAAAGGCTCGGCATGCTGCGGCTCACCATCTACGCAGACAAGCACCACTAGAGCTTCGCCCGAATCAACATCATTCACCACGTGGATATGCGGTTGTTTTTTTGTTTTTTGTTTTGCCCTACACGAGCACGGGAGCACGTGAGCACGTGAGCTCACTAGCAGGAGCACGTGCACCGACGGCGGACGGACATACGGGCATGGCTAGCCCCTAAGGAGCTTCGCTCCTAAAAATTGACTCAACAAAAGTATCGCCTTCAAAGCCTTTAAGGGGCCATGAAGCGAATTTTGGGTTGGGATGAATGATTTTAAATTGGGACTTTACTAATCGCATATCGTTTAGTTGGCCAAAAGAAAGAGACTAGAAAGTCAAAAGCCAGCTTTTCGATACTAACATTTGAAAATATAGCGGACTATTTTGTACCTTCTTTCCTTCGAAAGCTCTCCGCCTTTTCACTATGATACATCCGCGGTTCCAAAAACGCATCACCGGCGCCAAACTGACGTCAGCAGAGCTCAGCTCACGCATTGGACACGATAACTGCGTCACTCGGACGTATGCGCTCGTCAACAATCAATCCGTCGACGAATATTTGGATTCGCGTTCGAGGCCAATGAGTGCCCTGACGGAACTTATTGTCACTGGGGGATGACAAGTTCTATGGTGTGCATAAAAAGCGCGGTGGAAGCTAGGGGTCATCGCACCGGTGCCGAAGGAATGTCACGACCACGTGATATCACGATTCGCATTTGAGTTGAGGATTAAAGCTAAGGAGGAAGAAGTAGGAAACTGCTTTCATGACCCCTTAATGGGGTATCCACACGAAGGAGAAATCCGCCCCTTTCCTCCGCGGAGCGCGCACCACGTGAGACATACGTCATTCCTTTTTGACACCTCGCGGCGCCGTTCTGCTCCGTGGCGGAGGCGCGGAGGCTTCGTGCTGTCAGCACGAAAGCTCCGCAGGTGCACGCGGCGGAGCCGGGGACGGAGTTTGCCGGGTTGCTGACGTCACGACATCCGTCCGCGGAGTTCTCCTTCGTGTGGATACCCCTTAACCGGCTCCGCCGCGTGCACCGGCGGAGCTTTCGTGCTGACAGCACGAAGCCTCCGCGCCTCCGCCACGGAGGAGAACTGGGAGAACGGCGCCGCGAGGCGTCAAAAAGGAATGACGTATGTCTCACGTGATGCGCGCTCCGCGGAGAAAAGTGAAGGATTTCTCCTTTCCTCCGCGGAGCGCGCATCACGTGAGACATACGTCATCCAATTTCGACGCCTCGCTGGCCTCGCGCCGCCGTTCTCCTCCGTGGCGGAGGCGCGGAGGCTTCGTGCTGTCAGCACGAAAGCTCCGCCGGTGCACGCGGCGAAGCCGGGGACGGAGTTTCCCGGGCTGTTGACGTCACGACATCCATCCGCGGAGTTCTCCTTCGTGTGGATACCCCTTAAAGGGGTATCCACACGAAGGAGAAATCCGCTCCTTTCCTCCGCGGAGCGCGCATCACGTGAGACATACGTCATCCCTTTTTGACGCCTTGCTGGCCTCGCGCCGCCGTTCTCCTCCGTGGCGGAGGCGCGGAGGCTTCGTGCTGTAAGCACGAAAGGTCCGCCGGTGCACGCGGCGGAGCCGGGGACGGAGTTTCCCGGGTTGTTGACGTCATGACATCCGTCCGCGGAGTTCTCCTTCGTGTGGATACCCCTTAAAGGGGTATTCACACGAGGGAGAAATCCCGGAGATTTCTCCCCGGCACGCGCGCATCACGAGACGAAAACGCGAGGTTTTTTGCACATCGCGAAGCCTGACGTTTTCGTCGCAGGGTGCGCGTGCCGTGGAGAAATCCCGGGGATTTCTCCACGGCACGCGCGTCCCGCGACGAAAATGTCAGGCTTTGCAATGTGCAAAACCCTCGCGTTTTCGTCTCGTGATGCGCGCGCGCCGGGGAGAAATCCCCGGGATTTCTCCCTTGTGTGAATACCCCTTTATCAGGCCTTTCCCTAGGAGTCTGCTGATGAATAGTTACACGTTTTTTGCAACATTCAGAAAGTGCCGACCAACGGAGCCATCAATTGTAATTGTGTTGTGTGTATGTTTAGACAGCGGGAAGTTAGTCAGCCCTGAGGGCGTCTGGTGTTTTCGTTGGAGATGAAAGACAGTGCAGTCTCCCGTTGCTTGTCTAACGACTTTAACGTGCATCACGCAATAGCGATACATGACAGCACGCCGGTACGATGCTCATCCAGATTGAAACGGGCAGAAGAGGCGGATTAAATCCACGATCAGTGAGCTTTATAGCGCGAGCTTTCGCTACACGTCCTACTGATCCACGAGCAACGAGACATGGCGATCGAATTCGAGCTCGAGAGAAAAACAACAACAGCAACACCATGAAAATCTCCGGTTTGAGGCATTTAGTACTAGTGTCGCCATCTCGTTTAACAAGTTGGAAATAAAATTAACAGGGTGATTTTATTTACACAAATACGCAAATACAACAATATTTTGCTTTTTCGTCATGGTCTGAAAAGTAAGATTAGAGGCGCCCCCAGTACGTACGGCCAAGCGTTTTGTCACGCTTCTCTTCTAAATAATTGTATTTTCAAAAATGCCTCGAAACGCGCTAAAAGCAGTCAAAACGGTCATATTTCTGAATATTATTAAAACTCTCCAGCGCTCTAAAAGAAAAATTTAAAGGCCGTACAACCTTTATTACGTTATCATAAGTAACCTCCAAAAGAATCAATACTATCGTGCAGTCCTGAAACTCAGGTTTGTGTAGCGAAATCTGCCCATTGAGTGACGAGTGGTTGAATCCCCCTTAACCTTTGATGTGCCACGCCCCAGAATACTCGGACGCGTTCCCATGTGGTTTCAGATTCGGTTTGCTCCCTAACCCTCCAAAATTAAACTTTTTTTTTATTTTTCTGTTTTTTTACGTGTATGAGCAAGCGATGAAATCCTTGTTTTATCTTGTAGTGTCCCCGTTTTATCTGTTACAGCCCCGCACGCGCAGTACGGACTGGGTTCTAGGAGGAAAATGTGACGGAACGCCACAAAGAACCGTCACAAAATTTGTGACACGAATTTCAGGAAGAAAAATATGCAAGCGAACAGGTAATTTAGAAGAAAGAACCCCAATATTATCAGCCCGACGGTCTACCACCGTGCCAGGGAGAGAGAGTTACCTTCCTACTTCAAGGGCATGAAACATGTGGGGAACCGCGTTCTATCACATGACTATGTCACATGATGTAACGTCGCGGAAAATATTCAATTGAGCAGCGGCGTGGCAGTGGGAAGGCAAGCGAAATTAACACCTGCTGTGTATTAACGACTTTTGCGAAATCGACGGCACCTAGCGGCTTAAGCAGAAAGCTGTGGCCGCAGATTCGCTCGCCATCTTTCTTGAGCGAATCAGATATTTACAGCGCCTGGCAGTCTTTAAAAGAACCCGCAAATTTAGGATTAAAAAATGCGCGATGAAAGCCGACAACATTGATTTATTTTGTCTAATGAGCTATTGTCCGGGAATACATCTTCAACATATTTTGTTGCGTTTATACGACGGGCCAACAATTGTATCTGAATCCAGCTGACCACTTACTTTCTTTCCACCACGCCATTTCCACGAGAGGCGACGAAGTTCTCGTTTTCACAAATAAAAAATAAATAAAAAGCTCAAGATCGTCAAGGTGTCTTTGGATGTAACAATCATACGCCGAAACCACTGTAACATGTCTTTAAATCAATATGCGAGAGTGTGGTTTAATTGACGATGACCAAATGCTCTTAAAAAAGGCGAGAACTTTGTGAAATTGCTCTTCGAAAAATGCGAGAACATTTACTTTGAAACACGAACAATTTAATATTTTTAAACGCGAAATACGCATCGTCGATTGCTCACTCCTCCGAAATAAAGCACGACGTGTGAAGACAGGATTCCAACTTTTCAATGAGGAAGTGGCGACGGACGAAGCCCACGAATGCAGAAGCGGCGACGACTGCCGGCCACAGGTCTCCTTTTCTCATCGAAAGTTTTCGAAAATCACGAAAAGCTTTTAAACTAAATAACGGCCAGCTCTGGAGCTTTGAAATTTGATCCCGTCTGCTAGCACTTCGCCTGGCTGAAGACCATGCGTTCGGCGATTTGTAGTTTATTTTGCGGTTAAAGAAGCACTAAATGTTTGGTTTCCTCAATGTAAATGGCTTACCATTCCCTTTGTTACAAAACTAGTAAATTAATACTCTACTGCACGAAAACCAATAAGTTAGCAAAATATTGATCATAAAATGATCGCTCAACGGGAGGCAGGTGCACGGGATGACTCGTGCCGCCTCCTGCCAATACAGCCTTGTACACAAGGCCCGTGCCTTACCCCTCCAAACGTCATCACGAGTGGATCGACGCAGCTGGCGCACATTTATTTCCAATAGAAACAACTCTCCGTGCGGTCCGAGGACTGCCCATTCTGTACGCTGCCCTTTGAGAACTGCAAACGGGATCACCACTATTCTTTAGTCGATGGAAGAGCGCAGTAAAAGTTCCGCCTCCTGCGCGAGCTTTCTACCTTTTATAACGCACATGGCGCATGTGCGGCTAAAGCGCAATGCAAAGCGACGAGCGCGTGATAGAGGCGGAGTTTTTACTTTGTTTGCTTCGTAGAATACACTATGCGGACGAGGTTGCAAACAGGAAACAGATGTCACGGCACCGCGCTTGTGGTGGCCCATTCATTATGTAGAGGGGCATTACCCGTTAAACACCGAAACAGATGTTTGAATAAAAAATTTAAAAAAAAGCCACCACATTGTGTTTTTCGTGTAGAGAACTTCCTCGTCTGGCTCGTTTTTCGCAAATATTAAGCAACAATACTCTAATTTTGTTCTTCGCCCGAGACTGAGGCAGGAAAAGAGGAAAGTTTCGAAGTAGAAGAAAAATGAACAGTCGAGGACACGTCTCTAACACGTCTCTAACACAGAGCTGTGTTAGAGACGTGTCCTGGACTGTTCACTTTTCTTCTACTTTGAAACTTTCCTCTTTTCCTGCGTCAGTCGCGGGCTAAGAACAAAAGGGTTAACATCCACCAGCTCGCCTGCGCACTCACTACATTATCATTGAATACTCTCATGTTCAAATTCACGTTCGTTTCTTTGTGTATGCATTCTAGCGTTTTTCGAGAAAACGTGTGAAATGTGTTTTTATCCTGCAACAAGCTTGTAGATGCGATAGATTATCAGTAGGGCCCTGATCGGATGGCAGTTTGATCACCCGCATCCGATCCGCATCCGCACCCAAACCGCATCCGCAATATTCTTAAATTATTGTATCCGCAGCCGTTCCGCATCCTCATCCACATGCTTTGTATCCGCATCCGAACCGTACCCATAGGCGCCAACTACCGACCCAAGCCATCACGGACAGATGGGTGGCTTACATAAGCTGGATATTTAAGAAGTGCTGGGATGAGTTTGACATCACTCACGTCTTGACTTCAACGGCCACACCGCAAGCTAATGGCCAAATCGAATGTTTTACAAAAACGATCACATTAGCACTGTCACCTTAACGAGAGACAATACTGGGGAAAACTGGGATGAAGTTATTGATCTTGTCCAGTGGAGTCCGAACAACATGCGTATCACAAGGCAATTGAAAGCACACTGCTCATACTGTTGTTTAGCTACGAGCCAAGATGCATGAGGGGAGATCATCTCGACGAAGCTTTTGCGTGATATGTGCAATAAAACTAAAAGTTGAAGGGCGGCCACTATTCAAGCCATTCGCCCTGACTAAGAAAGGCAAAAACGCCGCTAAAATCAAAAGCGACGTAAAGCGCCCACGTTTGAGCCAGGCGAATAGTTGTAGTTCAGCCAGAACCGACGTCAACGGGAGAGTCGCGCAGGTTGCGAGAGAAGTACAGATGACCGTATATAGCGTATATAGTCATGAAGCGACTTCCTATTGACACCTATCGCATCGAGGAGCTGGATACCAGCGGACTGCACGTTTCTACGTGTTGACAGCTTCCTTCAAAAAGATGAAACAAAAACTGCTTAATTGTTTATAGAAGGTGGATAGAAATGTTGTTAGAACTTTTATCTGCTATCTCTACAGTATCTATCCAATATATGTACGCCGATTTCTACAAACATTCTACAAAAATATATTAAAAAAAACTATAGACACTGAATTGAAAAGTATGTACATTTTCGTTAGAATATACATATAAATATTTTTTTTTGTAAGGGGAAGGCTCTTTGTGACAGCATGCAGCTTCGGCGTACCTGTACGATAGCCACCATCACGTAGAACAGTCCGAAGAGTGGCGTGATGGTGAAGCCCTTGAAGCGGAGCAGGTCGGTGGTCAGCACGAAGATGATCTGTCCCGGGATGACGACCAGGAGCAGGATGCGCGCCACAGCGCTCAGCTCCGAGCGGGTGCAGAACAGCGACACCGGGTCCATGCAGCGGGGCTCGTGCACAGGCAGGAGACCGCGGTTCCCGCTCCGACTCAGCCACGTGGACAGCCTGCAGCAGTAGATGGCCGCCAGGTTGCCTCCCACCGCTGCATGTACGGTCGGCGACGTCTCAGAAAACACGCGCATGGACAAAGAAGACTCGCCCATTTACACCGCGCTTTCAGAAGACTTAGCTGCGAGCGCGGTCTAAATACAACGCTGACCTCTCTTAAAGGGGCGATGCAACATTCTTTTTTAACTTTTAGTAAACACCACTTGGAAAGGTTTCTGACATTCACAACTCATGAAACACGCATTAGTTTTTTCGCTCCACACAACGACAGTCGCAAAATTCGAGAGAAACGAGCAGCGTTCACTCTCTCAACTCGACACCAGAACAAGCGGTCACTTAATCTGGAGCCGATTACATGCCACCAATATATGTTTGTCATCGCTACGTGCTGGTGTTTGCTGGAGTCACTGCATATGACAGCTTCAGCTGCCAGAATAGCGCTACGCTTTTCCCCGCGCCACCTCTCGCCGCGGTTGGCCTAGCGCTGTATCTATAGTAACCGGCTGTGCTGGCTCGGTTCATACAGCAACTGAGAGAACCGAAGAAGACCGAGAAGTTCCGAGGAATTTCGGCGTTGCTATCGTCCTCTGTTTTCGCTTCTCGAGTGCGCGTCTCTCCGTGCCTTGAACATATGGTGAGTGAGGAGCTCAAAACTTTGTATATTAAACCCCCGCTGGTATGCCAACCACGCTTTTATATGGCTTTTAATCACTTTTTCTGCTTGAATCGCGTTTCAGTGAACGGATGAAGAGATAAAATGTGGTATACCAACAAAGAGGAATCCAGGCGCCGCTAGCAGCTAGGTTACCATGGTAACGTCCAGGCCCAACATGGAGATCACTATAACGCTTCTGACGTCGTGCATCTAGGTCTTTTTTATGTCCCATCGCTACTCTGGCAGTTAAGACTACCATATACAGTGTCTCTATCGCGGTGAAAAGCTCAGAGTAAAATGGAAGGTTTTCCTACCTCTCTCCACTTTAGCAGAGCGAACGCTGGAGAGGAGGTGACCTCCTCTCCAGAGTTTGCTCTGCTAAAGTGGAAAGGGGTGGGAGGAACTTCCGCCTTATTCTTAACCGGTCACCGACCATATATCTTTGGCAAAGCACAGGGCACGGGTTGGGTTCGACACATTGTTGAAGTTTGGCTACTCCAGTCATCGCAGTGATTGGGCGCGAGCCGCTACCCGAATGCATGTTGCACTGGCATTGATTGTCACGATCCCAAATCGAATGCTTACGCGGTGCTCGCGTCCACATTGTGAGCCTCATCAGATATTGTCACCGTGAGTATCGCAAAGCTTGAGGACAAAATCCTGAAGATCGCAATGTTGACAACGTCAGAGATGCGATCCCCTCATCCTCGCTATCAAGTTTTTCGAAGGACAGACTGAAAGAAAGCATTCGCTTTTCTCCTCGAAATTACGCAGCGACAACGAGGCTTCTCGGTCAGTGGTGTCGCGTGCGAGTGAAACTCCTCTCTCTTCTTTCCACCTCAGCAGGGCGAAGGCCGTGGAGGGGATCGCCTGCTCTTTAGCAGTCGCTCTGCTGGAGTGGAGAGAGGTGGATGGAATTTCCCCCAATTTCTAAATCTGCCACCGGAGGCTGGTTCGCACATTTGTGTCAGTTGCGTTTGCAGGAACCGAAATGTGTTTGGGATTGCCGTGCACAACGTGGCAAGCGATGTAAGAGGTAACGTTCTGAAGCAATCGTGAGTCACGCTTCTTCCGGAGTTCTGATCGTTTTTGTCGTTTTGGTTGTGAACGCAACCGTCACGAATGATTGAACCGGCCTTAAGCTGGTCTAAAGTGAGACACATTCCTCCTCACTCTCGTTGCACGGTCCACTTAAGCAATTTTGGGTGCCGAGATAGGGATAGAACACGTATATCATAAAAGAATTCTCCCTCCCCCATTTATTTTTTGAGAGTAGGGAAATATATCATCTGGATGAGTTCTCATCCAAATTAAGAGACCGGGGAGCGCAAAATGCGTTGACGGTACACCACACATGATGAGTGCGGTTTGCACGAGACCTGTCCTGCTCAGATCAACGCAGTCTCGTACACGATACTCAATAGAAGAAATTGTCTGCAATTACATTTACTTTTCCTTGATAAGTATACAAAGAGATTACTTGGTTACAGTATTTTTCAGACTTTAGTCTGCGGACAATGAATGTTTATAAGTTGAAATTTGACCCCGTGCGGATTTTTTTTTCTGGACCGCTCATTTGCATAAGACGTGAAGGGTTGTATAAATAACCGAGTATATTAATGTCGGTTTATGAAGATTACAAGCTTGTTTGTGAGTCAATACAGCAGGACATTTTCCAGGTGTGCTGTGTACAATAATTTTTGCGCTCGGTTGAGGCACTAAGTGCAGACTATCGCGGCGTGCCGACTTTTGAAGCAAAAACTTATATTTTTAACCTAAATTTGTGTCTGCGGACGATGTACACCGCTTGCGGACCCTCACCCGAAAGATACGGTTTTTGAGACAAAAAGTATTATTAAAGAAAAAACATTACTATTAAATTATACATATGGAAATTTACCCGTGACATTCCAAGCCCAGAGGACTGGATCTTATCAAGGACACGCTACTATCGCTGTGGACGTTTGCACGCACCGCCGACGTCGACCGCTCAGTATGGTATTTTTTTCTTTCCCCACTCTCCCTTCCAATGACTACTTCATCGAGCTAATATTCAGACAATGAAGATATTCAATCAACGAATAATAAACTTTTCCTGTAAAATTGAGTGAAAGCAAATCAGATTCACTCACCGTTGACGGCTGAAAGATGCAGTGCGATCCCCTCAAAGCGGAGCACCGAGTAGTCCAGAATGTAGCCGCCAAAGCTGCGCATGATGTACCTCCGATCAACGGATGTTCGGACGCCACCAAGGACACTCCGGATAATTAAGTATAAATCCACAGATATCCCAAGCATTTTGATCTTTTCTCTTCTTTTTTTTTTACAAGTACAAACATTTAAGTCCCACAGAGGTGTTGGCGGACAACGAAAGTGTCCAAATCGCCATGTCTCCTCAAGAACTCACTGGGATCAATGCAATGTATATATATATATGTATATATATATTTTTTTTTTGCCTTCATAACCTCCAATATTACATAATGTTCCATAAGTTATGAAGCTAAATCAAACTTTTGGTTACGAGTTTCTACATCAAACCACATTTAAAAATTTGTCTGGCAGTTGAATCTCATTTTCTCATCTTAGCTACATCATCATCTGGAGTAGGAAATAAAATGTTCTGAAAAACCTAACCCCAGAAAATTGTGCCGTCATACGAACGCCTTTTGCGATTGCAAATTTGTGCAAAACGTTAATCGCAAAGCGGATTCTCGCGTATTCGACCGCAACAGCGACAGAGTTAGACTGCTTTCTAACAACCCTTCGAATTCGATAACTCAACTCGGCCGTTACTGTGGAAAAAAAACACCTAATTTCTACAGAAGCACTGCAAACTATGTGGCGAACATCGAATGACAGATTGAGACTGTTGCGATGGTCGGCTAACGTCTAACAAAGTTTGCTCTTTTTGTGAAGCGGCCGTTTTGCAAACTCTTCAAGCCAAGGTTGGTACTGGTCGCAGATGCAGCTAATGTGGCGGTTACTGAATTAGTAAAGCAACAAAGTACCTCTCCTTGGGCGTCCGAAACAGTCAACTTACACGACACCAACGTAAGGGAATGGCGTTTTGGCATGAGTCAGAATGTGAGCGTCGTCGACTGAACTGGATTCTCGATTGGAGCACGTGGCGGTAAAGCGAAAATCCTGAATAATGTCGAAGAAATTGGTAATCATCGATAAATAGTTAAGCCTAGCCAAGTCACCAAGTCATCATCCACTTTGACTGCAGAGATACGGTCGGAGAGTGAGGAAGGAACGCCACCAGAAGTCGGACCGCCTAAGGCATCCGTACCATCACAAGAGAACTAAAACGGGCCGGCCAATCACCAGTCTCACGGATACCCGGCCATCATGGGTTCCAATGGGACGAGAGGGCGAGAGGGCACACACTGCAGCACAGGAGCACGGGCCCGGACAACTCAAATCTCCGAACTTTTCTGCTCGCGCTTCTCGAAACACGGAGACCCAGGAAAGTACCAAGACTGCGAGGAGACTCTCCAACTTGCTCAAAAATAACAGATGGTCGTACTCACAGACCGACTCCTTGAAGACCCAGAACCAATGCTTAATGGCTAAAGGCTACTGCCGCTAGGCTCCCGTAGAAGATCCATTTAGTAGAATTCAGTGAGGACTGCTGGGACCATTTAGACCTAGTGGTCTCGTTTACACTTGATTTCTCGCTGAACCGAATTTGCGCGATAAGAACATGCAACATGCATCTGACCTAGATTACGAGTCTACCTTTGCGCAGATCATCCTTAGAACCAATCATTGTGCACTCTAAAAAAGGGTGTCGTCCTACACCTTTTTGTCCCATATAACGTACCCCAAAGCTTTGGTTCGACGTAGAAGGCACTGACTTCAAACAGACGGCCCCAAGTTTTACGAGGGGCTTGATAACGGTAAGATATACCTAATTAAACAGGTAAAGTATGTATCAAGGACTACAGAAAAAATTACACAGATTTTTCGCAGTAGGGTCAAGCAAACCCAGATTACTTTTTTTTTTTTTTTTGTAGTCAGTAGCGCGCACATTAGCTATTTTAATAAGTGGTACAATTTGGCGATCAAGCCGCTCGTGAAAGTTGGTACCGTCAATTCGACGTCAGCGCGCTATACGTTGAACTGAAGTTTTGGGTTGTCTTATATGGGACAACGGGTGTAGGTATATAGCCTCTTTTTTGTGAGAGTGCGAGGTACAGTGACTTCCGATGACCAAAAGAATCATCGATCCCGAAATTGTCAGTCGCTCTACTTTCTCAGCTCCACTTTCTCAGAACCTATCTTCATGGCCCCAGCGGCGCTTTCGTGTGTAAACGCTGACGCTATCTTTTTATTCGGCTGGCTCTTTTATTTAACGTAATGAAAATAACTGTGTTTTTTTTTTTTAGCTTATGCCATGGGCCTTGCTCATGAACAAAAAGTAAATGCACTTGTTTGATCGACCGTCCAGACGTCCCTTATGCAAAATGGACTAGCGATATGTACGCAAATCCGGGCAGCGTGACCTCACGTAGCATAGAGTAACTCGACGCACGTCACCCGTGGTGGCACCAATCCCGGGATCCATTGAGGCGTCTCGCTAAATTTACCTGAAAGACGCCAGTTCGAGTCGCTTCCATCGGCACTGTGCCGCTACGACGACGGTGACGCGACGGCTACACAATTCCAAACTCAGCTTTTGTATTCATTTTAATGGAAACAGATTTTACATTAAAATATCCAGGCTCCCGCCAGACGTGAACGGAGCATCCTTTCACCGGAGGCAATTAAGTGCCGTCGGGTCACGTTACCATGTCACGTGGCATCACGTGTAGTCAGGTGACATAACGTAATATATGCGATCATACAACGTCAGGTCACGTGAACGTGAAGTCACCGTGTTACCTGAGACGGCTACGTCAGGGGTTCCTAGGTGAAACGTGACCATCTCGCCATATGATCTTGGCGTACGCTCCATCCGCAACATTACGTCTCGTCTCAAAGTCACCCCCGAATCAAAAGTAAAACAGATTCGCGTTAAACAATTTGTTCATTTCGGTGACACAAAAGTGTCGCTCGAGGGAGAGCGACGCTGCGGTACCGACCTGGATACCACGACCGCCGACAGGATGGGCGGCCAGCCGACGCGTAGCACGTTCCTCGTGCGCTCGTGCCTGTGGGCCACGAGCACCCAGAGGGGCAGCAGGAGCAGCAGCATCGCCAGCAGCCCCGGCGTCACCCAGGGAGAGTCTGCAACAATGGGCCAGTAGTCAGCGGCTATGTTCCAAATCTTACCCAGGTCACCTCTCCTACGTCCGCGGGTAAACGATCCGCGACTCTATTCAGGAACGGCCGGGATAATCATTTGGATACTACGCGGATTGGCTTCGTCTGGGGCAACGGGAAAAAGAAATCAAAGCAGCGAGGGCGGAAAATAGCAGACGCTGTCTTGATGATGGAGAAAGTACTCGAAGCAGGCGCGTAGCCAGGAATTTGTTTCGGGGGTGGGGGGGGGGGGGGGGGGGGGGGATAATTTATTTATTTATTTCAATACAATAAAAAACTTGAAGGCAAAGCACATATTAGTTTTGAAAAAAAGAAATTAGTAACAGCAGTTTTAAACAAATCATCTGCCTGAATTATCGCGATGGAGAAAAAAGTGAAGAAGTTTTGGGAATAAAAGATTGTTGAAATGTGTTCGTGGTACATAGTGGTAGACCTCCTTTATGAGGATGATCAAGACGGGAGGAAACATAGAAAGGTGGTGTGAGGAGACGTTGACTCAGGAATGAGTTAGTGTGAAATATTTTATGGAAGAGACACAAACGGACAACCGTTTGGCGGGAGACAAGTCTAGGCAAAGATAAGTTAGATTTCATTGAGGTGAAACTTGCAGTGCGTTGATAATTATTGAGGATAAAACGAGCGGAATAATTTTCAACAGCGTCTATGGGGCTGTGCTTCTAGACGCTTCTAGGGAACATCTTCTAAGGAACAGCTTCTAGACGCTGTGCCTCGGAACGTATGTATTCCATAGAATACACTTCAGTTACCATAGCGGCCGTCCGGCTCGTCAAACGACGAGAGGCGGGCGAGTCGTGGTGAGTAAAGGGGGGGGGGGGGGGGGGGGGGGTACGGTGGGTACTGCCCGTGCAAGCAGTGTCTATGAGCAGTTCCGTAACTAAGGTAATCTAATAAAGTTGTCCTCGGTAGGTGACGAATAAAATTCGTGGTGTCATCGCACCATGCGAGAGTTTACAGTTATTCGTTCTTGCCGAATTAAATAACAACAAATGAATTAGGTGGCGAGAAATGCGTGGTTGCAAAATGTACGCGCTCAGCAGCAAGGCTATCACCACAATGGCCGCTGATGCGATTTCACAGTTGCGACGTAGAGCACCGCAGCTTCGACTGTGTGTGTGTATATGTGTGCGTGCGTGCGTTTGTGTGTGTGTGCGTGCGTTCGTGCGTGCGTGCGTGTGTGTGTGTTTGCCCACGTGTGTGGGTTTTTATTGTTGCCGCTCGAGCGACGCAACAATTGCGAAATCTCCGGTAAGATTGTGCCGTTATCTAAAACGGTGTTACCCGCCGACGCTGGCGGCCGCCACGCACCTCTCCACGGCAGCAGGTTCGAGCTGATGGTCGACAGCAGCGCCAACGTAGTCAGATCGCCCAGCGAAGCCGCGATGGGCGCAGCCACGTTGTCCGGATTAAGGTGCATCTTGCGCGCCAGCAGGACGATGGTCGTCATGAAGGCCCCTGCGCAAGCAAGCGAACGTCCTGGCCGTTCTGACTGGCGTTCTTATACCGACCTCTGACTCGCCATATCAACGCTTGGCTTACCGCCTGGCTCCCCTTGCTTGCCTGACCATATAACGTCAAACTTTTGCAAAATCGAAGGTTCAACGCCGAAATGTACACTCGGTCTCACAAAACGGCCTCACTGGCGGGAAAGGCTAGGGCGCAAAAAAATAACTGTGTAGAATGTTTTTTTTCTTTTTTTATGGCAGGAAGTGAGTTAGCCCCAGTTGGTGTCTGGTCTCTCAACTGTAGATTTTAAATTCAGCTAATGCAGCACCAATGCTGGCCTGGAGTTATTAACATACATCACTAAGAGGCATCCACGATCCCACCCCGGTACGATGCACATATAAATTAAAACGTTTTGCACCCAGAATTCCTTGGTTTCTTTAGCGCGAGCTTTCCCTTGATGCACGCTAACACACTCGAACACCGATTATTTTTTTTTAAAGTAATATTAGTATTTGGTTACCGATCGCTCCAGAATGCTTTGTAAGCCCTCAGTCATTGAAAGAAAGCGCTTTCATAAACCTCGCCCCCGCGCCTTTGCCAGCACCGAAGCCAAACTGTAAGATTAGAATATAGTGATTCAACATGTAGAAGATAGCGAAGTTAGCTTTTTGTAAAAATGAGGAAAACATTCAGACAGCCTTCGCTGGTCTTGTTTTGTAGGTCAATAATTTTCAAAATTCGCATAAAGCTTTGATTTCTACAAAATAGTTTCCTTCCTTTAAAAAAACACACTTTAGCAAGAAGCTGTTTCCAAGAACAACGTGCAAACTATAACCGCAAAATGGTTCCAAAGTTCCATTGCATATTTTTCGGTTGAGCTTGGAAATCGAGCTGATAAGTCTTTCAAGTCGCTGATGTCGGTCTAATAACCCCAAAAGGAAAACATAAAGAAATAGAAAGCGTGTGCGCACGATAACTTTCTTAACAGTTGCCAAATTTACTAGATTAGCTCAGTTGTGAAACTCCTGCGAAGGCAGCCCCCCCCCCCCCCCCACCCCCCCCCCTTCTCCCCGTCGTTTGAAATGCCACCTAGATTTTCGTTTCAAAACTGTGTTCCATAGAATACGGAGAAATGCAATCTAGACGCTGTGCTTCAAGAAATACGCATTCCATGGAATGCAATGCAGTTACGGTAGCAGCCGTCCTCAAAACGGTGGCCACAGCTTCGCTGACCAACCAAATTCACAACGTGAATTAAAGCCCCAATCTAAAAAAATGAAAGCCGTTTACAACTCCCTGTAACGCCGAATTAGAGCGCAGCTCTTGAGGAGGAGGAGGGAAGGGTACTGAGGGTCACGTGTTCTCGGGGGGGGAGGGGGGGGGTCACGTGTTCTCGGGGGGGAGGGGGGGGGTCACGTGACCTCGGGGGGGGGGGGGGGGTCCGACGCCGCTCAAGCCGGAAACGGGCGCCTAAGAGCTGCGTTCTAAAAAAATTGTTTTCTGCTTACATTATGTTATCTAGTTCGCTCAAAGGGGACGCGGACCCATTTGCCCGTTCCTAAGAGTTTTCTGCAAGGTTCGTAAGTCCAATCGGAATACTATATCGCAGCTGCAATAAAAGCTTTGCAGCTAATATATTGGAGCGACAAAGCCCTCGAACTGGAAAAACAACGATGTCGCCGGGCCAGGAAGTTGAACTGTAAACACCCGGGTATTTACGCTGACGCCCCTTGGCCTAGATCCAGCCCTCCTAGATACCAAGAGTGAGGTGCTAGATTCTTCTACTACACCTAACGGACGCCATCGCGGGACAGAAATCAGACACGTGTACTAAGTCAGAGTTTGGCTGGAACAGGCTAGAAAGCACCGTGACCAGCTAGAAAACACGCACAAGCGCAAACACACACCTGGAAAGCACCACTCGAAGAAATATTACGAAAACCTTATTGGGGCACTCAAGTGGATTCTGAGATTGTCGATACTGATAACCCAACCTGTAAGCTGCAAGCATCCTAAGAAAAAAAAAAGTCACATCAACGATCGTGACACACCCCTCTTTCTGCACCCCTGAGGACACATGAAAGCGCCGTAGGACAGCGTTTTTAAACACTAATTTCTGTATTACGTCCCCTACTCCCAAAGATTTGACGTTTCTTTTGTCAAAATATCACACAACGCGCCTAAAAAGCACAAACTCCAAGAAATCTCCACGCAATTACTATTTTCATTAGTAAAAGTTTATTTATAGCGGTTGTGGGTTCTATGGTCCTATTTGTATCACTCCAAGCCGACTACACGCGCTCACGGGGAAAATGCAAAACAAAGAGCACGGAAACAAAACGCCCCGTGGTACCGCAACGTTGCGCACAGCTAATGCCCAAAGCTCGTGCAGGGCTTTTACACGCGCCCCGGAACAAAAAAAAAAAAAAAAGAAGAAAAGTCACTATGCTCCGTTCACACTTAAGCTGAGACTAGAAGCTCCGCCTTCAGCGCGAGGTCGCCGGCTTTCGCAACGCTGTGGCTGCGCGTGCGTGCTCCTTCACACTTGTGTTAGCGAGGGCAGAAAGCTCGCGCTGAAGGCGGAGCTTCTGGTCTCAGCTTTAGGGTGAACGGAGTAGAACCTAAGCGAGTTGAATGGCTTGTTACTACTTTGTGAACAGACCTTTCGCTAAATTACCAAGGTATCAAAAATAACGCTGGGAACGTAGGTAGCGCGGTGCACGCGTTCACCTTGTTTGTATAAAATATCCCATATAAACAACAAAATTAGACTTTCATTTATGAACGCGAGTGAAAAGTGCAATTTATTTTGAATTATTTTTCTTTAGAACGTTTACTTCTGCAGAAGCAGTACGAGCAGCGCTTGTACTGCACTCGCTCCTTGAGCTGTCTGTATTGAGTATATGACTGACTTTCTTTGGTTTTTGCTCTCGTCTTTTACTTCGCATTTTATCTTTGTGGACGAAAATGAAGACCTGGTGGTAGTTTTTTTAACACACTTTAATAGTATTATTATTGTTATTATTAGAACGCACACTAAGACACCCTGGGCGAAACGAGCATACATGGCTTGCACTGACGTCGTACCGGTGGTCATTGTGAAGAACCTGCCTCTGCCTTCTGCCGCCTATATTACGCACCTCGGAATTTGTTTCCTTCGGAAAGAACAAGTAAAAGCGACCATTGATAAGGTGCAATGACAGTACCTGAAAGTTATGAATTCCTCTTTTCTCTTCACCGCCGCGCAGCCTCCTTTATCTTCATATTTGAATAACAGATAACCTTATCAGGCCTTCTCCACTTCCCGTGACGCAAACTTGTAACCAAAGAGCGGCATACGAGTGCCGTGTCAGCGTTTAGCTGGATCTCTTCTCTTCGCTGACTGCCGCCCATCCAAATGCTGAAGCAGCACTTGTGTCGAATCTTTGCTCTGCGCTGGCCACGTGCGCGACCAAACGCGTCGCTGTGGTCGGCTTTCTACAAGTGGCCAAACGCTCGCTGCCGTGCTTTCATCCATGACCTACTATAATCCTGACCTGCCCACAAAAGAGTGTGCCACTGCGCTCCTTGTAGTACAGTCAGCGGCCGCAGCGTTTCGTCACGCTATGACTTAGCGGCGCTGCCCAAAGGTGTTTTGTTTTTTATAGGGTATCCGCATATGAATCGAAGGCGTGCAAGGCGCGGCGGCGTTATCTGGTCTGCTCTTTTCGCGGGCCACGCAGGATCTCGTCAGTCAGCGGGCGCTTGACAGATTCGTGACTATAGGCACCGGTTGCCAGCAAAGTGGCTATTTACGAGTGATCCGAGAATTCGCCTTATTTTGACCATGGCACGAGAGCAGTCGGGGCTCAAAAACGCCCTTGCGCTTCCGTGCCTGAGAAACGCGCTCTTTCGATCCGAACAAACATGAGAGCAATGCCAGCGATGCGTCCTGTTGCAGTGTACTACCGCAGCCTGCTGGCGCTACGCTACGGCAGGTGTTTTCGAAAATCAGCAGTCGGATATCACGAGTCGCGCGCCGTGCCGACCGTGAGCGCGACAGGCAGACAACGGATCGGAGGAGAGCCACGTGACTGGTGCCCTGCTGTGGCGAGACGCCGAAACAAACCTCTCCTGAGCGAACAAGTGTGTTTCGGGTTCTCGCCGCTGCAAAAGATGTGTGCTGACGTCCAGGTTCCTCGAGAAATGGCTCATTGATGCTCTGTGCTACCATTCCTCGCGCCGTCGTCAAACTTCCAGGCTTTGTGAGTATTCGCGACGAGAGCGATCGAAAGCGTCGCTGTGGTCAGCACACCACAATTGGCCGAATGCTGATTATGACTTCAGCAAATTATTTCTCATGACGGAAATAAGAGGAATATAAGAACTTCAATTTTGACGGTGCTGGCAGTGTTGTTTGAGAGCGCTATGATTTCAGGCTTCCATTACAAACACCATCGAACTTGTTGTTCACAAGGTAATAATGTCACGAAAGGTAACTGAACGAGGGCGCCACCGAAACAGCTATGCACTTGTTAATGACGCCGCGCGATGGTACCGGTACCCTGCTTGCGCGTGCTGCTATCCCGCGGTTCGCGATGGTCGCGCTGGATCTAGAAGTGCGTCCCGTATAAGCACGCGGAGTGCGAGACGCTCTCGTGCCCCGCGCGCTCACTCGCAACACTTTAGTGCACAACAAATACGGAGGAGACGCTTCACGCCGCGGCCCCTTTGTGTAGGAATACACCGCTGCCCTGGCCATAGCGCCACGTTTTCGTGATAAAGAGGCGGCACGTGTAACTACCCAGAACGGTGGAGCGCTCGATATACCTACCCCTCTAGCAATACCACTTAGAACGCAAGGCCTCTGCGTTTCCTCCTCTAAATGTCATCACTAGTAGACCCAATCAGCGCCCCCTAGGTAGCCCGGATGAGCACCGTCGTCTGCTACATCGCCTGCTCCGTCACCTGCTTCACCTGCTCCATCACCTGCTTCAGTGGTTTGTGCAGCAGATAAGGAAACAGAT